TTTTGAAAATGTAGTTCACCAATAAAATAAGGTTTGGAATATTTTAAACATGAATATCGACGGACTGGGCCACTTCTGTTCATGTATTGCCCTGCTCCATTAATGGTTCATGAATCCGCCCAGTCGACATTCCTTCTCTGTTTCTCTCCGTTTTTTCTTTCCTTTCAGTTGCATCTTCCCTTCTGCTCTGTTTTATTTTCTCTTTTCGTTCGTCCCTCTTGATATTTGTACTTTGTACTGTTGAGGCAACGAACTGAAATAATAAAAACCAAACCAAAAACCAACAAAGTGGTCGCCTTGACAGGTTTTACTCTACTACAGATGTACAAGATTACTGATTTATGGCAGTGATTAGCACATACATGTAACTGTACTACAGCTACTTGACAACGATTACCGGTAATAAGTGTCTGAAGTCCTTGCTGCAGCTACACAAGAACGAGAAAGCTTTTTGCCTATTTCAGTATTTGTTTTGGTCTCTGTTGTTCAGAAGCCTTGTACTTGTGACTGTAACTACAGTGCTGGCAACTGAAATCCGACCGCCTGGGCGGAGCGCCGCGCCGCCCAGGGGGTCGGATTTCAGTTGCCAGCACTGTACGAGTTTTTAGGCAGCGTGACGTAGGCACTTCGACGGCCATATTTTATTTTTTACCGACTATAGCTAGCCGGTCAGGGAAGAGCTAAACTGCCGGAAAATAAGTAAAAATTAAAAATGCACAATGGCAAAATGAATGAAAATGAATTACCGCTCGGTTTTCCCAAAAATACAAAAAAATAGTCGCCAAAACTAAGTACAGTCAAACCTCTTTAGGACGAACAGTCGAACACCAGGGGACCGATGATATTTGTTCGATATAACGGGAGTTCTTCTTATCCGTATGTTATACCCAGTGAATACACAGTGATTTATCCAATGGAGTTACGAATACTACAATCGTTGTAGTTCTTTTTAAGCAAACATTTGTCTTATCAGTGTTCTTCCTAACGAGGTTTCACTGTGTTAAGTCCTGGGTTCACTCAGTCGGTAGAGCAAGCGGTTAAAGTAATGGATAATGGTTATCATACAGAATTGCACACATATTCACAGAGAGAGAGAAAGAGTTCTCAGGTAATACACTGTAGTCTAGCATGAAACTAATCTGTAGGAAACTAGAAAGGCAGCAGCTTTTATAGGGTGAGTAAGTAAGCTAGCCTATGGTCAGGGGATACGTAGAGCAGAGAGAAGTAAGAAGAAAGGTCAAACTACAAGGTACATGATTGTGTGGGCAGAAGAATGGGAAAGGTCGGGACATGGCACCTGTGCACGAGGAATACGTTTTAGAGGAAGAACTGAATAGAAGGGTGTACATTACATCGTATACATGTAGGTGTGCAATAATACCAGGAGGACAACTGTTGAAAGGGGCATTAGGATGTATGTACAGCTGTTAGTGTAGATAACTAAAAGGGTGGCTGAAAGTGAAATGCATCAAAAGGTCTCCAGTGTGCTATCTAAGGTCAACCTTGAAAGTGTGTGGGAACAATACATGAATACAGCGCATTGTATAGTATTAGTAGTGCATGTAAAAGAGGATAGAAGGTGAGGCTGGTGTAACAAGTCAAGTACATGTGCATGTCATTATTATAATGTATGTATTCCTATCTAACAACTGTAGTACTAGTAGATACATGTACATGTACATGTACAGTTGTGGCAAGTGAAATCCGACCCTTGCCATAGGGGACAGCGCCACAAATGGACATCAGTGATGTAATGCACTGCACCTAATTTGTACCAGGGAGCAGTACAATACCCTGATTTGTACTATAGAGCCGTATGCATCCCAAACTGATCGAAAGGTCACAGCGTAGATACACACAGTTCACAAATATGGTACACATAAGGAGTATTGGTAAC